GGAGGGACGGGGCGGAGGGAGGGCGCGGGGGGCGGGGAGGGGGGCCCCGGCGGATAAAGATGGCAATGTCTCTCATCCGAGCGTGCCGCAGTCTGGCTCTCTCAACATGGCTGCTTTCCTTTTGTTTCGTGCATCTGCTCTGCCTGGACTTCACTGTGGCCGAGAAGGAAGAATGGTACACCGCCTTCGTGAACATCACCTACGCGGAGTCCGCGCCGGACCCCGGGGCAGGGGGGACGGGCGGCGGCGCCGAGCTGCACACGGAGAAGACGGAGTGCGGGCGCTATGGGGAGCACTCGCCCAAGCAGGACGCTCGCGGGGAGGTGGTCATGGCCAGCTCGGTCCACGACCGCCTGGCCTGCGACCCCAACACCAAGTTCGCCGCCCCGACCCACAGCAAGAACTGGATAGCCCTCATCCCCAAGGGCAATTGCACGTACAGGGATAAGATCCGAAACGCGTTCTTGCAGAACGCCTCCGCGGTGGTCATCTTCAACGTGGGCTCCAACACCAATGAGACCATCACCATGCCCCATGCAGGTGAGTGGCCCAGCGCGGGCGGGGGTGGGGTGGAGGAGGGAGTCTGAGGGGACAGAAGTGCCTAGAAGAATCCAGATCCTGCCTCCCAGCTCCTTTCTGGGAAGTCCGAGCAATGTAGAAGACGCATCTCAGTTCCTTGGACCTATTAAGTTTTGCTCCTCATCACTTTGGGGGGCTTACAAAGAGGACTGGATGAACTGTATTGCAGAGCGTGGAAGGATACCGTAGAGTTTGACATAGCGCCGCTTAGATCAGGGTTCCTGGCGGTGGCCTAACTTTTCTAAGGAGGACCTGGAAGATGGGGTTTGGAGGGCAGGGCTCTGATACTGTTCTCGGGTTAGTGACCGGCCCCGTACCTGTTTAGAACTATTAGATGTGATCATTCAGCTCTATACGTGGGTCAGAGTATACTCCTGCATCAGGTAATACCCCAGCTGCAGGCGTTTGTGTATCAGGAGGTGGCTAGGGTTACCTGCTGGCAGCTCACCGCTGTGAACTTACTCCTTCAAGTCAGGTTTCAGCTCTTCTCGGGAGATTAAGAGTTACCTACCCCCTCTAGTTTAGGCACGTCACAAATAATACTGTAAGTACTGTGCTGTGCCAGGCTGTCATCCAGAGAAACTGACAGGCGGCATGATGGTACATAGTAACAGCCTTTAGCAAGCCTGGGAGAGCTTGGTGGCCGTAAAGTTGTATAACTACTTTTCCAGTTTTGCATTATTTGCCTAATTGGGAGGTTCATTAAATATGCTAAAGGTTTTCTTTCTCAGAATGAGGTGATTTCAGTCTAGAAACAATAAGCTTTTCTTGATGTTGGCAGGCACCAGGACTGTAAATAGTATTTCTTGTACCCCAACTCTGTAACACCTGTGTCTGACATAGACAGTGTTTCCATGGTGGTAGGGACATCCCCCCACCAAGAAAAGCCGAAAGAAAAAGACATGTCCAGGCTTGTCAGCATAAGCCCCCTAAGCTACTAGTTTCAGCAGACACTTACTTGCCTCTTGAGCTCAGGGTTGCTACTTGTATTTGTTTATATGCCTGAGAAGTAGGCTCTTCTCCCACAGAGGAGTTCCCAGCTGAGGTTGTGGCCTCCGGTGGGGGGACAGACGGGTTGAAAAATGACAGAAACATTTTCTGAATGGAGTCTCCTAATCAAAAGTATTATTTTTTCCAAGCTTTATTTTAATAAATAGTAACGCTACTGAAATGAAACACCAAGCTTTGGCTACTTTTGCAGGGTGTTCTGTTTGGGGGCCAGTTTCCATGCTGAGAGCTCATGTCACCTATTAGTGAAATATTCAATTGGTTTACCTCTAGTAATCAACACCAGCTGTTTAGTCAGGGAAATTTGTCAACGTTAACCCAAACAGGTAGGGAGGGGAAATGTTCCAGACTTCTAAAACACGGGCCAGAAAAATGCAGTGTGCTAAGTCGTGAAGAGGAGGAGAAGCTTAGAAAAGTTACAGTATAGCACTTTAGAAATATTTGGTATGTTTTCTTTAACTCAACATTTTTCAAAGGGAAAAGATTGTACTCTAACCTTGAGTCAGGGGAGCACTACTTAAACTTTGATATTCGAAGATATTGAGGGCTGTGGAAGAGCACTTGAGTCATGTAAAGTATTGTTAAACATATTACTTAATGTCTAAACCCTCCATGGGGGGGAAGTGTGAAGGAGGTTTTGGGTTTTTTTTTTTTAAACTCCACAAAGATTGTTAACTGATTTTGCAGGATTCTCTCATTGTTTCTTTGTGCATATGCGTGAAATCTTAAACTCAGCCACTTTGAATGCAAGGTAAGAGGCATCATTTGTTCCTGTCTAAAAAGATCCTCTAGAACTGCCAGTACATTGGATCAATTAATGGCTCTCATTTTGAAAGAAAGCAGTTTAAGTTGATTTCCCACACAAATGATGCTTGATTAGGACACAGAGGGAGTAAAAGATTTAGTAATACTGTAGTTTGAAAGTCAAAGGCTAAAAAAATGTAAAGGAAATTCTCTACAATGCAATTGTTCTTGGTTTCCAAAAATGTGCTAATGTGGTATCTTATATGCTAACGACCCCTTTCAACACCTATGCTTTTGTCCCAGGGAAGCAAAAAGGAGAGTGCTTAATAAAAAAACGCGATTCTCCCTGTTTTCAAAAATAAAAAGCAAAACAACAACAACAAAAAAAAGTCCACGGACCAGAGATTTGTATGTTCCCTATAAAGGAATGCAAGAAACCATATCTTTAGTGCAAGAACAACAAGAGAGAGTTCGTCCAAGTGGTGAGCGCCCCAGAAGTGAACTTGCAGGTGCATGTAAAGACAGTGAGACCCAAATTATCTCCCTGGGGCTGGGCTGATGCTTGCCTGTGAACTTTCTTTCCCTGTACTCTTAGGAAAATGATGATGTCAGAAACTTCTAGAGGCGCTTTAGGGGACCGGTCAATTTGGCATGTAACCTCTAGAGTCAACCACTTGGATTTGTGTCCTGGCTCTGCTACTTTCTCACTGTGGGTCTTTGAGGAAGTTACTCAACTTTTTCAGGACTTCAGTTTCCTCATTTAAGATATAGAGGATAATAACACCTACCTCAGTTGCCTGTTGTTTGAATTGAATGGATTAATACATATAAAGGGTATCATCATGCCCTGGACTTGCTGAGGCCCTGGCATCCTTGGACAAAAAAAAAAAAAAAATCCTTTATTTATTTACCCTTTCATACTTTAGAAGGCAGAGCAGTTATGCCACTTTATGTTTGTGGCCTCAGTGATTTGAGACAGGGTGTTCCAGCTCCCTCTCTGATGATTGATGAACATTTTTAAGATTCTCCTGTTGCATTTGTACTTGCTCTTGGCTTACATTGACATCTTATTATAGCAAGGGCATACATGATAAACGTGGCAAGTGGGGCATACAGGCTGTTTGTGACTTGAGTTATGATGTTGAGGAAGTTTTATTTTTTTCCATTTTTAAAGAGTATGTTTGCCTGTTGGAGCTTAAACATCTGTCTAGGAAAAACTTTTGGGAGACCTGGTCCAGGATGGCAACTGGGAGACGGGGGAAGGGAGAAGGTAGTTGCAGTAACTATTTGAACAATAAACTCAACCCTTGGAAAGAAGGAGCCCAGAAAGGAATATATCTATGTATTCTAGAGTTCTTCTAGGCGAAAATGCAGGTTTAAAAGGGTCTTTCTTCCATAGGAGTCTGCTAAGGGTTTAATTCATGGGTCTATGCTACCTTTATGGCCATTACATACATTGCTGAAGACTCTACCTCTGTCTTGAATTCTGTAATGGAAAAAACAGCTATAATTTAATTAACCTTATTTAAGGACTCATAATTTTATAGAATATGTGTAGTTTTGCTTTACATTTTCCTTTAAGTAATGTGATCAATTTCTTTAGCATACTGAAGCCCTCTTTGGGTAGTAATAACACTGAGCAAATGCCAATTCCTCTGTACCAGGGATGTTTTGGCACTCGTGTATGTATTAATTTAAGTCTCACAGAGTGAGACCCTTGCCATGAGACAGATACCCTATAGTCCTCATTTCTTAGGTAAGGAAGTTGGGTCAAACTGAGGTGACTCAGACAAGCAGGTGGGAAATTGTAGCCCTGGGCTTACAAACCCAGGCTGTCTGTCCACAGTCCTTACTTGTCACTGCTGCCACATACTCCCTCTCAGTTTGAAAAGGTACTCTAAAGCTAGATGTGGACAATGATTACTCCATCATAGGTGCAGGAAGTCATCTAATCCTGACTCCTGTTTCAGAGTCTCAATGCTTTGTTGGCTTGGAGGAACACATTTCTGTAATGGAAGAAAGGGGACCTTGTATTGGGGCTTCTCCCCCAGGCCTACCTCTGATTAATCATTTGGCTTTGGGTCAGTCACTTTTTGATTTCTTACCCTCTGTTTTATTATTTATAAAATGTGAGGTTTGGATTAGTTGATCTCTAAGAGCTGTTTGAACTCTAAAATGTATTCCTTATATATTTACAAATCAGGATAGTTCTTTTAAAATTCAAATTTCTGACTTCTCTGAATCATAAAACCCAGCGACAGGTGCCTGCGTTCCTGGGTGGCCAGGGGTAGCTGGAGCAGGGCAGTGGCTGGCTGTGCGGATGCGCAGGGAGCTCTCAGGTTGGCCCACGTCCCCCTCACCTTTTATGGCCTGGCCCTTGGCTTGCTCCACTCGTTTACGGTCCTTGCCTCAACCCCAAGGTCAATGCGTTTGGCATCTTCGCTTTCTGGAATCAAAATAGGGTCAGTGAGGAGCAGTTGCTGAAAACAGACTTGATTCAGCAAAGGAAAATACTTCATAAGGATAGAAGCCTTTAGAGATGGGAGAGCTTCGCTTGAAAGGTTAAGCTTCTCTGGCATTCAGATCAACAGTGAACAGGAACATTGTGGAACCGCTGATCCTAGGTTTCACACACAGGGTTCCAGTGGGTGATGTGTTAAAGGCCTCCTCAAGCTTGACAGTGTATGATTCTGTATCATTTAGCTCCTGAAGAAACATTATTTCTTAAGAGCCGTGGTTTCCACTTCATTTTTCTTATAAGGTACATATAGAAAAGCTATCATTTAAGCTTGGCCTTGCTCTCCCACACTAAAACAATCTCACCTTGTCTACTTAGTGTGCATATTTGTGTGTATTTTGCACTAAGCTGTAACACTTCACTTGTCTGTCTGCCCACAGACAGATATTCCATACCCAGGAATTCTAGGCTCTGTTATTAAAAGCCATAATTCATCCTCAGTGTTAAATAACATTCTTGGCAGTGTAACTTAATAAGGCCTGGGCATTTCAAGACATTGTATGACTTGGTTATACGTTGTAGATCAAAGAAACATGTATCTGGGAGATTTGGAAGGAATCCTAACTTCTGTCTTCTAACCTTTAGTAAGAATTCTATACTCATTTCTCCTGATGCCTCTCATCTTTAAAATCTTCTGGTTTCTCAAAAGGAAGTAATTTTATGACCGTGAAATCTGGAAAGATCCAGAAAG